ATTGTTGCTCTTTTGTTAGTTTTGACTGCTTTTATTGTCCTCATTTGTAAGTCGCTTTGGATAAAAGCGTCTGCTAAATGACTAAATGTAAATGACGCCCTGGAGCTCACGTCTCCCAAAACATCGAAGCAAATTTTCAAATAGACGTTATCTTTAATAACAAACCGCATATTTGAAGTCTAAACAAGTACATTCTCACCTAAAAACTCTTAAAAGCATATTCCATGACACAAAAACAGTATTATTTATAAAAATTATAGTGGATTTGGTTGTCCGCCATTACACTTGCTGTGAGAAATACCGAAAGCGGAGTGATACAAATGGTGAAATGATTGGAGCTCTGTTATCACTAGAATATTGCACTCCTCTCAGCCAATCAGATTAGAGGACCAGAAAGAACTGTTTTGTGTGCACACACAAACACACACACACACACACAGTGGGTATAGAATAGAATCACCTCCCTTTAAAATAATCACATTTTGTTGCTTTGCAGCCTGAAATGAAGACGGACACAGTTTTTGTTTTATCCAGCTGTATTTACTCAGTGCAACTTATAACATCCAAGTGACACCAACATGTCAGAAAAAAGACATGAAAAAATTAATCACTGAGTTGGAAAAAGGATCACCCCCCTCCTAAAAATGACTTGTAAACTCAATCAGGTGTAGCTATGGCACACAAAGCCATTTGACTTTCAACTGTGATCAGCTGTGGTCATTTTGATTAGCTCAGCATGAAAAGAGCTTTCCTGGAGCATTTCAGTCCTTGGTAGTGCAACTGAAGCAAACAATCAACTATAGACACCGATCAAAAGATCTCCGGGAATAAAGTTGTGGACAGGCACAAGTCAGGAGATGGATACAAAAAATTTCAAAAGCTTTATCAATGCCTAGAAGCACGGTGAATTATTTTATTAAGTAGTGGAAGGTATTTGGTACAACACAGACCCTCCCTGGATCGGGACGTCGCTCCAAACTGGATGAAAGAACCAGGAGGAAACTGGTCAGAGAGGCGACCAAGAGGCCTACAGCAACTCTGAAGCAAATGCAGGAATTTATGACAAATAGTGGTTATTGTGTGCATGCGACAACAATATCACAAATTCTCCACAAATATGGCTTGTATGGGAGGCTTGCAAGAAAAAAGCCACTCCTCAAGAAAGGCCACATGCAGTCACGACTGAGCTTTGCCAAAACGCTCCTTGAAGCTTCTGAAACTGTGATACTTTTTTCAGGGTTCTTTAATGAATAGAAACAAAATAAATATAACAAAATGAATTTTTTTGAAATCGAAATATTTTGTTACATTATGAATATCTATACAGCCAATCAATTTAATGCTTCCTAAATAAAAGTATTAATTTCTTTCTTTCAAAAAAAATTTATTTTTGCATGGTAGTGTATAGCTATATCTAACTAATATCTATATCTACAGCTATATACAGGTGCATCTCAATAAATTAGAATGTCGTGGAAAAGTTCATTTATTTCAGTAATTCAACTCAAATTGTGAAATTCGTGTATTAAATAAATTAAATGCACACAGACTGAAGTAGTTTAATTTTGGCTCACATTTAACAAAAACCCACCAATTCACTGTAGATGTGGAAATTACATCATCTAATCACATGTCTTTCTCCATGCACACTCATACCAGGATGTGAAAGTGAATCCTGAGCGGTGAACTAATTTTTGGCAGCCGGAATTTCAGTGCATCTCTAATTATTGGCGACATCAGAAATGGATATTATATAATAGCTGCTTTTTTGGACATTTTAGCAATTTAAAAATATTTAAAAAGTATTTTTTACATGGCACCCCTGCTCTCGACTGACGGCACCCCGGTTGGGAAACACTGGTTTAGAGCATAAGCCGAGGTAGATTTTTATTTTTAAGAAAATTTATTTGAATTATAACTGAGTTTAAAGAAAGAGCAATTTGTTCAGTAAACCACTGTTTAATTTAAAAAAAAAAAATTAGTTTTCCCCCTGCTGTACCGAAACTGTACCGAACCGTGATATCAAAACCAAGGTACGTACCGAACCGTCATGTTTGTGTACCGTTACACCCCTAATATCTATATATTCAAAAAAGGTGAGTGCCACTATTGTTTCCACTTCATGCAGTTTGTAGTAAATGAAGTGAATTAACTTAAACACCAAACCTCCTATGGAACCAAGTCTTTTACCTAATTTTACCTAAAGTAACCTTTTTATTTCTGAGCAATCTTCATAGCTTTCAGTCAGTGAAAACGGCCTCTTCTTTATGAGCACAGTTGCAGCTGTGGTTGTCTCCGAGGTGTTTGAACTTGTACCTGTAGAGGCAGGTGTGTGGTGGTTTCTGTTAACCTGTGGACCGCAGTGTCTCGCTGCTCCATGATGTCACATGGGACTCTGGCTGCAGCCGCCAAGTGTGTTCCAGCCAGGGTTGCCATAGTGGCGGAACAGACGCCCCCATGAGAAAGAGTCCAGACTCCATTGCCATGATAACCAGTGTCTATTTATAGACAGCACTGTTTATTGCAGTGGGAGCGTTACGGCAACAAAGGGAGGGAACGTCTGAAACATCTTTGTCCTGTGGGCATTGTACGTTATTGACTTGTTATTTTTAACCCAATATCAGTCTAGTGATGGTAAGAAAATGACGGATGGATGCACTGGCTGGTACTTGAACTGAAAAAGAGAGTGTGTTTGTGTACAGTGTTTGTTTGCACTGTATTCGGTTGTTTTACTGACACCACACACGCACAACACACATTTTCATCGCCCACCGTTTACAATGAAGTCACACATGGGGATTTCCTTTGCTCTGTTCTCACTTTGCATTCTGTGTGCAACGCTTGCTTGCGGACACGAAGGTTTAGAGAAAAATGCTGGTGCTGAATTTCAACATGCTTGTCCCTCATTGGTGTACTGATTTCAAACTTCTGTGGCATCTGACTGGGGACTTTGAAACAGCTCTTTTTCTCTGAAGCGCTCTGAAACATATGCCATGAAATTAGAATTATTTTTATTTTTTTTGCCTTTGTGTCTGATGTCATCCTGATGATCCTTTTCTCAAAGGATCTTAATCTACAAAGAGCTTCATGTTAAGTTAATAAGAGGTTAATTTCTCTTCTTTTGAAGGTATAACAACTAATTAGGGATAGATGGTGTCAATTTAAAAAGCAAACAGATGACTCAATGAGTTGTCTTTCAAAGCTGTTGTTACACCAGTCTAATAAGTCTGTGTGTGTGTGTGTGTGTGTGTGTGTGTGATCGCCATCTACAGGTGAAGCTGGTGAAGTACATCAGTAAACAGTTAGAGTGGAAGCAGAGGCAAACAGATGACTCAATGAGTTGTCTTTCAAAGCTGTTGCTACACCAGTCTAATAAGTCTGTGTGTGTGTGTGTGTGATCGCCATCTACAGGTGAAGCTGGTGAAGTACATCAGTAAACAGTTAGAGTGGAAGCAGAGTGTTCCAGAGAGTGACAGACCGCTGGCACTGGACTCTTACCCACAACTCACAGACTGGCTCTACACCATCAACCTCCGGCCAGAGCTCATAGAGGTACCAATATGTGTTTGTACTGAATGTATTTTTTTCTTAGTTCCTTTATTGTCTTGAGAGATTTTAAAGTTGACCCTATTTCCCTTCTTCATGACCTTTATTCAGCTAATGGGCCATTTTTGGGTATTAGATTTTTTTGTTTGTTCAATATTTTGTTTTGTTTTATTTTCTATTTTATTGTATTTTATTTTCCCCTTTATTTTATATTCACTCATTAAAAATTTTGCATAAATATAAATAAAAAAACACATGCATACATAAATGACATGAAAAATTAACATTTAAAATATTATTTTAAGTTTTTACGTTATTGTTTTATTATCTACTAACCATATTATTAAATGCAATAAGGCACTTCTGTATTCTGGAAATTTAAAGGAACATTTAAAGCATGAAAGTACAGTTCGATCACTTCTTCATATTAAAAACAGACTTCTTAAACTGTGCTTCTACTTAATGAATGTCTGTTTTAAAAAATGAATGTTATTGGAGGATTTGGACAGGAGAGGGAAGATGTTTTGCTTGCTTGCTGCTGAGAGTCTCTGTGGCGTTTCAGTCCTCTGTGGATTCACACACCTGATCCCACTCCAAAGCTCAGAATGTGCAGCGTCAGCCACCGTGTCAAAAACTGTCCCGTCAGTCTATTTTTAGACTCAAAAGGAGTCTGTCTTTCTCTCTCTCTCTGCCCACCACCCCATACTGTCATATACACAAAGCTGAGCAGAACAGCACTGCATTCATGACTGCCTGGCAAATGCGCAGACTTGTTTGTCCTCATTAGACACGGAAACAGACAGCACAGGGAAATAAACAACGTATGCAAGACTGAGAAACAAAACTAGACATAGAAACAATTTATCCCAGTGGGGACAGGAGGGGTCACTTTGTGGCATGCCTCTGATTAGCTGACTGCTTCACTTCGGTTACTGCGGTAGGACAGCATGATTTTTGTGTGTTTCTTATTATGTCTCCTCCAGTTTTCCTCTCTCTCCGTTGTCCCAAAATACTTGCCTTGTCATTGTATATTCACAACAGACCATCTCTGTCTGTCTGCGTCAGCCTGTGGCCTGGTTTTGCTTCAGGACCCAGATTTTACATTTGACATAAGTGATGCCCCAATACAGTACCAAAATTGTACAAACGTAAAACAGAAATGTCTTTAAAAGCAAATTAAAATGTTAATATTAATTATTAAATTAGGAATTGTAAAAATTAAAGAAAAATAATGTAAGTAACAATATAAAACATATTGTGGTCATCGTAAACATTTTTTTAATGTAGTCTGGATAATATTTTCTTTTACTTTGTCTATTTTTTACTGTTACATATGTGTTGTATGTTAATGTATGATAAGCCTAATTATTTAACATAAATATGCAGTTTTGTTTTATTTTATTCAGTTTGACTTATTTTATATCTTACTTTCATTTCGCATTGTTTATACCTATAACATGAAACCCAATTTTGAGTCGTGACCCACCACTTGACAGTCCCTGCCCTAACTCAATAAGTTTGTTCTCTAAATGTATCACACCAGGCTGCTATAGTGTGATTCACAGAGCAATGCATGCATGTGGGCAGCCGGCCCCTCGGAGAGGACAGCAGGGAATCCAGTTGCCCCAGTGTATCACAGTATAATGGGATAGTGCTTTCTCAGAAAAAGCAGAGGAATGCTATTTCTCCTGTGGGCAGACAAGATGGGACTGGGGCCAGTGTGGTTGTATTTGCATGATTAGACAGTTTAGGGAAGATGTTTTGCATACGTGTGACTCGTGGTTTCTGGTGCATCTACAGAACTACAAGGAAACACCTCTGCTGCTGTCTTCTTATTGCTACTGCTTTGTGTGTATTCATTTACATTACAGTTACTAGAAATGGAGAACTATCTAGGGTGACTGATGATATCCATATCTGTAAAAACAAAACAAAAAAAACATCCGTTATCATACCCTTCATATCTGATCATGTTTAATCATTCTGATTTCATGCCATCTAGGTCACAACTAAAATGTCTGAACGTCTTTGCATTACATAACAAGATATCAAACACAAGTAGCATCTGTAAGCTAATGATGCTATCACTTGTTTAAGAACTAATTTCACTCTTTTTTTTTTTTTTAACCATCTAGTCTAAATGTGCTTTTTAGTGTTTGTATGAACTGAAGTCAGTTTTGCTTGAAAGTGTGTTTATGCTATTATTAACTAAAGCTAAAACTTTAACAAACATTTTTAACTTCAATGAAGCTGAAATAAATATATTAAAAATATAATTATTAAATTTAAAAAAAATTTAAACTAAATAAACAGAAATGTTTCCTTGGCAAATGACTGAAATAAGTTAGTTTGGAGAAAGTACTAACTGGAAATAAATAAAAGTTAAAACTGAACTAAAATACTACTGAAATAAAAATAAACTGAAATTAAACTAATTAGATTAAATTAAACTGGAAATGAAAAGCTGAAAATATTAAAATAAAAGCTTATTTAAAATATGAATGACAACTATAATAGTGTTTAAATAATGCTAGAATAACACTGATCCATTATATGCATATCTGTTGTCTGTGAGAGTCAGTGAGTATAAACTGATGTCACAAGTTGACGTCTTTACACTTTAATTATTTTGTATATTGTGACTCATTCCTTGATGTTCCCAGCTGCAGCAGTGATGGGGTTTCCCATTGCTCAATAAGAGTGAAAGTGCAGCAACAACCATGACACACCATCCAATTTTGTGTTGTTTTTTCAGTTTGTTCCTGTTGCTGGTGATGGACTGTGAGTCGCTTATGAAATATAATGCTTAATTTAAATCAACCAGGGTTTGGAGCATTTGAGTTTAGGCAGTCCACAACATGCCAACATGTGTTATTGAGTAAGTCTAAAGGGCACAGGCAGGAGTGGTTGTGTGAGTCATATTTTTTTGTGGGTCACATCCTGTGGATCTACTGGAGGCCTTCCTTAAGGCAAAGATAAAGAGAAATAGATAGAAAGAAAAAGAGTCTGTGACGAATGCAATCTCACCCAAACCTCTGTTTCCTGTGCTGTACCCCCTCTCTCGCTCTCCTTTGTTCCTCTAATGTGGCCTCTCTTTTGGCCCAGGGATGAGCACTCATGCACAAAATGTATGGTGACAGGTCAAAGAAGGACTTAGGCCAGCCTAACCCTCATTAATCTCTGTTTCACAGTCACACAGTCAAAAGACATCCTGCTCTGTTAATAGCCTTATAAATGTATTTTTGTAGAGCAGTGGAATTTGTGTGGTATCAGTAATGTCTGCTCAGTTAGCGGTTGTGGAGCTGACAATAAAGATGTGCAAAGTTGCATATTTTTAAAGTCGACTAGTCAGTGGGCTGCCAGAAAGACTAGTTGCATAATTTGTATTAAGGAAACCCTGTATAATAAAGTTGGTTTCAAGTTCATCTGACCACTACCAGAAGTGTTTCTTAGGGGTTTTTACACAAAAACAACAGATTGGATCAGAAAAGAGTCTTGTGAGACGTTTGATCTATTTTAATTCAATGTAGCATTTTAGGAGTGCAAAACTAAAGAATAAAAGTAAGAAAACATTGTTTAACTAGTTTATAGCATGGCAAGTCAGTTTTAAAGGTTTTGTTTTTTGGACAAAAGTGTTGAAATTGTCAGAAAGAACACTTTTTCTCATTAAAATCAAAATGTTGAAGCTGAAAATTCACGGCTATCAAGTTTAGTTGCAATTTTTAAAATCAATCAATTAATTAGTTGTTACTTTTATGAGACAAATTTGTATTTTTTATTTATTTATTAAAATACAAATTTGTCACATAAAAGTGACAACTTTTATTTTATTTTGTTTCTGGGAGAAATTGACCTTTTAATAATTAAGTTGTGCCACTGTGGCTGAAATAACCACTTTTTCCCATAAAAAAACAAACAAACTGAAAATGTATGGTGTATAAGTGCAATTTTTTTTTTCTAAATGAAAAAAACTATACTAATTTGACATTAACATGAAAGTTGTTCAGTTGTCATATTCATGCATTTGGCCTCTGATTTGACAAACCAAATGCCTCCATTGGTGACCATGTGATTTTAGGAGGAGTGTCCAGAGCTGTGGAGAGACTTCCCAGGCATGTTAACAGGAAGGAAAGAGGGATAGAGGGGAGGGACAGTGGGGAAAGGGAGGAGGGACAGGACGAGTAGGAGGGGAAGTTTGGGTTGGAAGGGAGCAGCTCTCACAGCGTGACTGACTTGAGACTTTGACGAGAGACTGGTTTGTTGTTTTGTTTGTATATGAGATTTAGTAAAGGACAACTTCAGTGGAGAATCTCTCATGGTATAGTAAGCTTGACTGCTTCATATTTTAGAGTCTCATTTTAAGACTTTGTCAGCTGTGTTTTGTTTTTGATGTTTGTCGGTTTCCTGCCTGCATGCAAGCCTCTGTGGTCATAGAAAGTCTGCAAACAGAAGTACCAACGGCAGATGTCTACTAACGCTATGCTTGAACACATCAGGCTCATGTCAAGAGGCTTGCAGACTCACAAGCTTGTGAGGAAATTCCTTGTTTTCCATTTGTTTGAGATACTTATCAAGTTGAAATTCCACTGAAGCTCTTTGTTGAGGGTGGCTTGGTGATTTTGATCCATTTATTTCATTTGTAAGCACCCACTGTCACACTTTTTCTGTTTGATTGTAGGTTCATGTGAAGCTTTACTGACAGACCAGCAGAAACTGTCCCTGATAACGACATATCTTAAAGAATTGTTTGTTAGGGGAGTTCACCTGGGTGATTTTAATTGCGGTGGGTGGGAGTTTGTGAGTGTTTGTTTGGATGGAAGCTTTGGTAATGCTGCGTCTTGCTTTTATGTTCAGAGCATCACTCCCTGTGTTACGTCAGCTCATAAACTCAGGTAAAAGGCGTGTTCAGACATCACCTCGGTATCGGTATGTGTCATTTCACCTGCTCTCTGCCCCAGCTTGTCTGTTTTAACACAGTAATTCATGTACTTATTAACTTGGACGTAGGTACACGTCGTATAGAGCAACCAAGAGGTGCATTTTACATCCTCATTATGCATTCTGTTGTGTTTTCTGAATGACAGAAGAGCGAATAAACATTAATATGTCCATATATTATATATAGATAAATATTTATTCATGTTACTGTATGTTTGTGTAGAGATTATGCTTATTGGTTTGATTTAGACTCGGCTTAAGTTCATATTGATTATAAGCTAAATGAGTGGATGATGTTGTAGTATTTGTTGAGAAGAGATTTATGCTCTTAATTCTGATCTCTGGCTCTTGTTCAAAAAGGAAGTCTCCATGAGGATGCTGGGAGATTTCCATTCCCCTGAGTGCCATGCATGTCATTTAGAAGGCTGTTTAACTTGTTTTTGATTTGGTGTATTACACACACCCACCTCATACGAACACAATTACATGTGTAAATGGGGATATACCTTGTTTTTGTTTTGTTTTTTACTTTTAAATATCACTTTTGGTTTTCATTTTTAAACAAATCAATAATTAGTACAGAGTCAGACTAACAAACTTACTTTTTTTATGGTGTCCTAATTTTAAAGGCAATATATGGTTCAATTTCAGAGATCTTGATATGGTTCCACGAGTAAATTGTTAAATAAAAAAAGCCAAAAAACAAAAATAAATGTGGCTCACTTTACATACAGCTGATACATTTTCCTTTTAAAGAGGAACAGCTGAATATTTATATGAATTATATTTATATACTCTAATGTTATTTTTTTAGTATTGTTTATATACTATAATATTTATTAACATTTAGATTTTTATAGTTTTGCTTCTATTTTTAGTTTATTTTCATTTTAGTTTCAGTTTTAGTAATTTTGTTAAGTGCTTTTGCCATTTAAAAAATATTTCTGTTTGGCTTTAATTTATTTATATTTATGTTGAATGTAAATTTAGTACTTTAAACCTATTTAGTTCAGTTTTTTAAGTAAAATTTTTTTCATGTAATATTTATATTTTATTTATTATATTCGATTTTTGTATTACTGAATTAATTTTTTTTTTTTGTTTGTTTATTATTCGTTTTAGTTAACCATAACAACACTGATATAGTATACTGTATATTACAACCTTTAGTTCTGGTTCTATAATTTGATTGATGACAGTGAATGGTGTGAAATAAAAGTGTGTGAATTTTGCATAAAAGAAAAGTAAGTGTTGGAGATGAAAATTTGTTCTGAAATTCAGAACGTCTGATTTTTCTGTCAATCCAGGGTCACTCAGGGAGGGTCACTTTGGGAAATGGAAAACTTTCCACAACATTTAATTAACAGCTTTGTCCTTGAAGTGAAGCTTATATAGCTGTGTGTGAAAACACACACACACACGCATATCCCTGCAATCGGTAAACACAGCAGTAGTTGCACGATTCCATAGGACCAGACACACACATTGCTATTCACCTCATTGGTCTGTTTTGTTAATATTTAGCAATGTTTGACTCCACCATCTGAAACCACTTTACGTTGATGTGCACTATATAATCAAAACCCTAACCCTGTGTTGATGATTCTGATTCACCCCATTTTCTCTATTGATAGACTTTATGTACCTCGCTTGATCCTTTAGACCAAAGGGCCTCATGTGTCCTTTTATCTATTCATTTACTATGGAGACTACACTGACCACAACTATAACTGTTGCTGGGCAGCTTCTCAGTCATGTGTTTGAGTAAGAGTGTGTGTTGTGTGTGTGTGTGTGTGTGTTTTTTGGGTGAGAATTGAAATAAGGCAGGGAGATGCCAAAGAGTGCAGGAATGTTGTAGGGTGGAGGAATGGAACAGAGATGGGCAGACAGAGAAAGAAAACTGGTATCTGGACATTGGCTCAGTCTGGTGCCAGGAGATGCCAGCAGTCTTAGTGGCGGCAGGGGGATTCCAGTGGGCTTTATCACCTAATCTTTCTCTAATTAGTATATAGACTCTATTCTGTCTGTCTACAGCCACAGAAATGCCATAGACTCTGGTCAAATACTGGCCAAATAAGATAATACTGAGTCATGAAGTGAATAATCTAGTGCTGTTGTTTTAAATATCAGTTTAGATGTATGATGTTGAATAATGTGCAATTAATCACCTGTGTCCATTTCTGCCTATAAATGCCATGATTAATGTTTTCTTCTGTCTTCCAGGCAGTCCCTGTGAAGCTGTCTCTGGATGCTCTGCTGCAAATGTCCAGTGCGCAGGTGGAAGACACCATGAAAAGACTGGGCTCTAGCAGTGAGGAGTGTTCCCGCATCACTGCTGCCCTCTCCTGTCTCAAGAGCGCTACTGACACAGGTCACTGCTGACTCCTTCCTACTCACACACTTCAAGCACACTACCACTTCCTGCTCTAGGCTCCGATTTTAGTTGTTGGCCATTTTAGTATTTTAGCATATAGACAAAAAGAATTTGAAAGAAATAAATGAACACTTTTATTCAGCAAGAATGCATTTTATAATGACTTTTATTATTTTACCAAATATTTCTATTTCAAATAAATACTGTTCCTTTGGACTTTCTATTCAGAGAATGCTGAAAAAATATATCACTGTTTCCACAAAAATATTAAGACATTTTTAAGAAAATAATAAGAAATATTTCTTGAGCACCAAATCAGCATATTAAAGTGATTTCTGAAGGATCATGTAACACTGAAGACTGAAGTAATGCTGAAAATTCACCCATTTTAATATGTATTAAAATACATGATGAGATTCTCATGAATTGATATTTGACAAAACCATATATGGCGGCTCACAAAGTTTTTCAGACCATCGCCAATGGCAAAAGTAAAATTTTTATTGCATTTGTGAACAACAGTTGTTATTGTTAACTGAAAAGTTAAAATACTTTTCACTGATTTAATTTAATATAATAAAACATAAACTTAAAAAACATAAAAACATTAAAAAAAAAATTTATTAACTGAAATAAAATAAGTTGAAGTACTAAAAATACTGAAATAAAAATAAATTAAAACTAAATAACATTTTTATATACTATAAATTTTAAATACTTTAGCGTACACTAAAATTACAACAAAAAATATAAAAATAAAGGCTTATTCAAAATATCAATAAATACTATAATAGTATATAATTAACACTAAAATAACACTGGTGAGCAGTCATTTGAGTTGAGTTCTGGAGCCCTGCATTGCATTGATCATCCACCTGCTTCTGAATTGTCTCTCACTCTTTCTGTTTTAGGGGGAGCCCTGAGGAAAGAGGGTATCCCGTGGATAGCAGAACCCACTCACCGTGACAGTACCTCTGCTGACCCGCTATCTTGTTCTATGCGTGCACATCAGTTTTACAGTCCCAACCCAACCAGCTGGCCCCCTCCTTCTGCTTTCCCTGCCCCTCGTTCCTGTGTCTCTGTTTCTGCCCTACCCTCAACGGACTTCCCTACAATTGTCCACCCACACTGTGATGGGCTGACGGACCCTTTTTCATCCTCCCCGCAGCTGAACCGCTGCACCTCTGGGCTGCTGTCCACAGCTCCAGCCACACCGCCACAGAGAAGGTATTGGAAACTAAAGCCCCCACGAACTCCACCACCTCCATCCCGTAAGCTGCTAAACCTCCTGCCCAACATCACTCTCACGCGCAGCAAGAGCCAGAGCCAACTGGCCAACCGGATCAACGACCCTACACCCAACAAGTAAGTTCAGCACTGAATAATATTTTATTTATGGATGTATTACTCCATGGCATAATGATCTCTTCTCAATGTTTGATTTGAGATTATTTTGACAGCCATATGATGTCAAGTATGGCAGTATTGATTTATATCAGTCTGCTGTTGGGCTTCATGGTGACTTTAAAAGTGACTGACTTGATTGGAGCAAATTTTGCCATTTTACCACTGCAAAAGTCGTGGGCCTAATGGTTAGAGAGTTGGACTCATAACCCAAAGGTTGTGGGTTCGAGTCTCGTACCGGCAGGGATTGTAGGTGGGGGGAGTGAATGTACAGCGCTCTCTTCCACCTTCAATACCACGACTGAGGTGCCCTTGAGCATCCCCAACTGCTCCCCGGGCGCCGCAGCATAAATGGCTGCCCACTGCTCCGGGTGTGTGTTCACTGCTGTGTGTGTGCACTTTGGATGGGATAAATGCAGAGCACTAATTCCGAGTATGGGTCACCATACTTGGCCACATGTCACTTCACTTTCACTTTCAAATATTTGAATGCAAACTAGATATGCATTTCAGAAATTGCAGAACGAAATCCTAGTGTAGGCACTGGTTCAGTGTAAATGAAATGCCATATCAGACATGCTTTTGTTTTTGTAATAACAAAAAAAGTATCCAGTTGTATGTCAGCTAGAAACAGAAATCCACACATAGTCACTCTGTGGCTATAAATACGTGCAAAGAAAATTGACCAATCACAATTCAGCATGCAGGTACACTACTGTTCAAAAGTTTAGGTTCTCTAAAATATTTTGTACCACTTTGTTTTTTGGGGGGGAAAAAAAGTCATGCTTACCAAGGCTGTTTTCTAGTTTAAAGTATTTTAAAATGTAATTTATTCCTGTGAAGCCGAAGCTGAATTTTCAGCATCATTACTCCAGTCTTCGGTGTCACATGATCCTTCAGAAATCATTCTAATAAGCTGATTTGGTGCTCAAGTAGCATTTCTGATTATTTTCAATGTTGAAAACAGTTTTTTCTGTATAATATTTTTGTGGAAACTGTGGAAAATGTCTATTCAGCATTTTTTGATTAATAGAAAGTTCAAAAGAATGATATTTGTTTAAAAACAGAACTCTTAACGGTCCTTACTATCATCAAGTGAATGAGTCTTTGCTGAATATAAGTATTAATTTCTTTAAAAAAAAAAATAAAGTACCTACACCAAACTTTTAATATGTAGTGTATATGCAAGAAAGAAAACCAATTACAATTCAGTATATAAATATAATGAAACCGTCGTCGCTGTCTGGAACCAAAATGCATCTATTTAACCATTAGCCTGTGTTATGTACTGATTTTTCCCCCCCTTCCTGATACAACCTAGCACTATAAACATGATGTCAGATTCTCAGAAACACTTACCGCATGATAAAGTCATGCAGTAATGCACTGAGTTGATGGGAATGGAATATATTCATCTGAACAATGTAGATAAAATCTGAAGCATAAGCAATGCCTCTTCAAACCATAAGATTAAGTGCCAGGGTTAACAGCAACATACAGACTACAAACTGAACAGAAATATAGGCTGACATTTCATTTTAAACTTGACTAAGAATTTCCAGATTCTCATCATTACACACATAATCACAATTTCACAGTTTGAAATGAATATTCAGTCATCATTTAGTCACCCGCACATGTTGCTCCAAACCTGCCTGACTTCGTTTCATTAGTGCTGGTTGGACTTGCAGTTACAATGAATGGCGACTTTTGAGTTTCAGAAATGAAGCAAAAGTAACATTAAATATCATAAGTGGGGTACATGTGATTTGTGCATTTTATTCCAAGTCTTCTAAAGCTATGTGATAGATTTGTGTGAGGAACAAACTGAGATTTATAGTCTTTCTTTAGTGGGCTGCTAACCACTGTGACATATTGAATATGGCAAAATTTTCAAAGAATAATAAATTACAGTTTGCATATAAAGCTATTGAATTATTTCATAAATATTTAAATATAGCAATAAAGTTATATGGACCACTTTTATGATACTTTCATGGTGTTTTTTTCATTTTGGTCTTTTGACCACCCCATTCCTCATTCGCTTTAATAAGAAGATTGGCCATGATATTTAAAAAAAAAAAAAAGGACTATTTGTGTTCCACAGAAGAAAGAAAGTCGTACAAGTTTGAAACGGGAAATAAATAATGATAACATGCTGTATCTTTGTTACATTGTGTGTAAACTGAGCAGGATGCTGACTCTATAAATCCAGAGGAAAGTTATACATTGCACAACATTTGCTACACGTAACAACATGTTGCCTAACTCAGCAATAATTTGGAATGATTTTTGGCCCTGCAGCATAAATAAAGAAATCCTTCTTGAAATCCTAAAGTTTTGCAATGTCCATGTGAGATGTTCAGCTTAAATGAAAGTGCCATTCAGCCAGTCTGTGTTCTGTCATGAGATCTCGGCTAGTTTGTTTGCGATTGTGGTTGCTGACTGCTGAGTAAATGCACTTACTCAACCGCTGTTGTTTTAATAGAGAAAATTGTTGCAAGTTGGAATGATTGGAACTGCTATCAGGAATTTGTAACACTGTGCATATTAAGTGGTACACAGGTGTGCATGTGCTACCAAAATAAAAAAATGCACTGTGGAAATAAGTTCAGAACGCTCACTGGTGTACCGACATGACTGACAGTTGTTAATGCACAATCACCGTTTTAGATCAACTAACTGTAATACTGTATAATGATGAAAATTCATATAAAGAAATCAAACCGTAAAAAGGAAAAAGGAAAAAAAATCTAAATATAAACATTGTATTTTTAGGTGTACTATAAAAATAATTGTATTTTTATTTAATACTTTTTATTTAAAAATATAATAGGATTATCACATTTTATTATTTGATAAAAAAAACTAACTAAATAAAGTGCAATAATATTCTTATTACTATGATTTTTTTTTTTCATAATTATATTTAATAGGTCACACTATATGTGCAGTGTGAGCACCAAACCAAATTTCTAGGTGCTCGTATGAGAACCAGACTGAAAAACGTATGTGCACCCCTGGTTATAATATTTTTTGTTTGTTTTTACCAGTTTTCATAATGTACAGAGAGAGTGCATATCTAAGTCTTTGATATTAATTTATATATTAAATAGCCTATAATAAATCAGTACACTAGATGAGGTCAAATAAACCATGTGTATGAGTCCACATTCTATTGATTTGTGCTCATTGGTGAAAGTGCAAAAATAAATTTCTCAAATGACAACAATCATTGCAATTATAATTTTGAGCAAAAAAATGATATATATATATATAGTATATATATATTAGTTTAACCATTATACAGCACTTCGAAGTTTTCAGTGATTAAAACTAGACTAAAATGCTCAGACTTTTAGTCGACTAAAACTTGACTAAACAAAAACTGGACAAGATTGACTAAATAGGATAATAACTAAAAAGTAAATCTGACACCAGGAATAAGACTGATTTAAAAGACTAAGATTAAGACTAAATAAAAAATGGCTGGCAAAATGAACACTACACTGTTCATACATGTACCATACTGTGTCGCCCTGCCCAGCGTGTGTTCGGTCTGTGGGAGTGGACTGCTGTGTCATCTGAGATCACTGATGGCCCAATTCCAGGCAGGTTTTGGAGAGTATTTCTACACGCCCCTTCACATAGCCCCAGTGTTTCCTGTTTGCTCAAGGCCGAGGTCAGACCCCTTCTCAGACTCGCTGGCGTCCAGTGCTTGATTATTCCCACTCCTCTAAGCCAATAAATGTCTGCAGGATTGGAGCTCCTCCTCATAATATGCATGTGAACTGAAGTCCACCGCTAAAACTCCCTGCCTGTGAAGCTGCACGCCTGTATTTGCACCTCGTTTTTTTAAATATTTGTGGTGGACAAGTGTTTATTTAAAGTACTATAGAAAGATTTTTTTGCAGGGAGGTGCAGAATGAATCATTATGAGAGCTTTCTGGGAATTATAATTGGTTGCATTGTGATAATTCCAATGAAATGTTGCGGGTGCTGAGTGTTAGTGATTTTAGGTTAAATTGTATATGGTTTTTGCTTTACACAAGTTGATTTTAAATGGTTCTGCAGTGTAAAAATTATTGTTTCATGTTCAAATGTTCCATCCATGTAGTATCTCCGGTAACATAAGGTTATAAAAGCTGAATGGCAAAGTATTTTTTATAATTAAATTATTTAATTGTTATTATAATTATTAACTATTTATTATTATAATTATTTATTATTTTAATTATTAATTATTTAATCATTTAATTTGAAAAAAAAAATTATACAAAGAAACACCAAAATCCTGTTTAAATGCAGTATAGCATGTCACACTGATTTTAGTATTTGATGGCAGCTACCCAGATACCAAATGTAGTCTTGTGTCCTCTGCCCTGCAGGAGTGGAAAGAAAAATAAGCCGCTCCTGAACGTGCAGGTAAACGGTGGAGGAAACGGCTGGGAAGACTCGGCCTCACGGTCACCACTGTTGTCTGCCCGTTCCCCCTGCATTCTACCAAATACCCCCAGTCACCTGGGAGACTCTGCGGGAGTAAGAAGTAAGTGGTTTTTATTCATTAGTAAATACAAATTTGTGTGTTTCAAAAACTAGTGAGCTCCCTACCAAGATAACATTTTGATTCATCATACTGTAGGTGCACTCCAGATGAAAAGGCTACAGTTAGACATCTGTGTTATGTTTGCTTATGAAATATGTTGATTTGGCTAAAGGCAGCTTTACACATATTGTTCATGTGTACAGCATTCCCAGAATGCACTGCAGTGAAAAATTCATCCAGTCAACTCTAAAGCTTAGAGATGCTAACACCAAACTCAATTTTAATCCATTTTGAGTCCAATCCATTTTTCTCTAACATCATATAGACAATGTTGCATCCCACGGAAGCTCTCCACTAATCATGAGAAAGGATATCGGTCTGGATGTCACACACAGGTACTGATCATTTAACCTTTGCTTGTTTTCATTCTTACATCCGTGTTTGTTTTCCAACTTCCAACACACCTGAAATTGACTTTCTTTTTGTGCCTCCTCAAAGGTTTTCCACCAAGTCCTGGTTGTCTCAGACGTGTCAGGTGTGCAAGAAGAACATGATGTTTGGTGTTAAATGCAAACATTGCAAGTAAGCAAACACGGGAATCATTTAGGAAAACCACATCAGCAAACCAGTATCTTCCTGCCTAGTGACAACCCATAAAATTTGTCATTCAAATGCTATTTTATAAAATGTCTTAATTGTTCAAACATCAATTTTTACACCTTATTTGATTGTTTTTTTTTTGTTTGTTTGTTTTTTTGGAAAAGGTTTTTAAAGATATGTGTCCCACCCTTCAGGACCACCCTCCATCACTGAGTCACCTGGACTCCAGTAGTAACCCTGGGAATCATTTAGGAAAACCACATCAGCAAACCAGTATCTTCCTGCTAATGTTTGCTTTCATCTCTTTTAGGGTGAAGTGCCACAATAAATGTACCAAAGAGGCCCCTAAGTGCAGGATTTCATTTGCACAATGTAAGATTTTGTACAAGCTGTAGTATACTATGCATTCAGACAGCTTTGCAGGTGATCTAAAGTTCTGTTCTGTTCTGTTCTGTTCTGTTCTGTCCTGCCCCCTTCGGTCAGAGCAACCCTCCAAGCGCCACCCCGCCACCCAACCCCTCCCCTAAGGGTCACATTGACAGTCGCTTTCACTTCCCAGGTTAGTCTCGTTTACACTGATACCACTGATGCCCGTGTGTAAACCCGTTTAAACTTCTACACTACAGAAGGTCACTCTTTTTGTAGCAGAGCATTATTAAAGGAGTCATATGATGCGGATCAGAAGAACAGAGTCGGTACCGTCAGGTATCAATAACCAGGTGGAGCGACCAGCAGAGTCTCAGCAGTACGGAACATTACCGAAGACAATAAACAAAAAGGCATGTAGCAAACCACACAAACCAGGAAGTTGAGAGTTAATCCATACTAACTCCTCATTATTATTATTATTAATATATACTATATTTATATTATAAAAGAAGGCGTAACTTTTATTCTCTATAAAACTCTTTATTCAACAATTCTGTAGTATTGTTGTTGCCGCCACCACCATGTCGTGAAGGCGCTGTGTGTTTCGTTGTGAAAGCGAAACTACTTTGTTTGGCCTTCCAAAAGAGGACGATATCCGCTTCGTCATGCCTGGAGCTGATCCGTGCTGGTCGCTGAGGAAAAACATCAACTTCGCGCTGTGGATCGCCGGATCGGCTTTCACCGTGGACGAAGTGGAGTCCAGCCCGGGGTCGTCACATGTGGTTGCCACAAGCCCACCGGCCGCTCCTTCGTCGAATCTGCCGGCAGCGCCGTTCTCAAGCCCGCCGGCCGTTCCTCACTATAGCTCATGATGCAACGCAACGCGTAAAAAGACAGTATAAGTCATTATAATCCGTAATTATGTCCCCAGTGGATGAAACAAATGCCTCGTTTATAATGGGTTTTAATTTTTTTGTCTCGTCGCTCCGGCCTGACAGGGCATCACAGTATGGTAAGGGGCGTAACATTTCCGTCACACGCTTGAGGTATTCGGCCAATCACAACGCACTGGATAGCTGGCCAATCACAGCACACCTCGCTTTTCAGACCGATGAGCTTTGTAAAAATCGACGCGTTTCAGAAAGGCGGGGCAAAGAGGAGAAACAATAATGTGCAGTATGAATGAAAAATTATGTGTTTTTTTAACCTTAAACCGCATAAACACATTTCTTTATTGTTCATAGTGTATAGTGTTCATAATGTTCTTTTTAGCAACATCATATGACCCCTTTAAGCACTCATTTCTTGTTTCCAATGCTCTGAAATAACATCTTCAATGGATGTATACTAACCTACTAATATCTGCTTAAGTAATTCTCGCTGATGCATAACAAGCAAGTTGTTTAACTGGGTCTTACTCTTTTCCTTGCGGACATTTGTCTATTTGTCCTACTCGATAGCTGCCTACTACTTTCAGCATAGACAACAGTTTGTCTTCCCTGGTGAGTTAACAATCCTCCACACCACAAAACTCTCTGTTATTCACTCTTCAGGCGTGGTGTCTGAGTTCCTCATTGAGTTATCTGTGACATTGTCAGACAACTCAACTATGCTTTCCAATCTTGAGAGCTTCAGCTGTAGTGAACTCAGCCATTTGAGATTAAGGCCCTGTCCCAAATGACACCCTAAACCCTCGCGGTCTTCCTCAGAGTCTGCACTTTCGTGACGTAATGCCGCTTTGACTGTCGGGTAGAAGTCTGCTGCAGAGCTTGCCCCAGTGCGGGCTCAGCAGAAGTGCGGATCGAGGGCGCATAACGGCCGCAAAGGGGGCGCTCGCGAACACCCTTCTGACTGCTAAAATGACGAATGGGACACCCTATGGTCTTGTGGACTTAAAGGACACGCGCACGCGGCGGCCATTGTAAGTATGTAAGACCGCAAGTGCACATGAAGTGTTCCATTTGGGACAGGGCCTTTGTTCATCTTCAGAACACAAATTAAGATATTTTTTATTAAATCTGAGAGCTTTCTGACCCTGCATAGACAGCAATGCAACTGAAGCGTTCCCATGTCCAGAAACGTAGTAAGGACATTGTTAAAATAGTCCATGTTACATCAGTGGTTCAACCGTAATTTTATGAAGCTACGAGAATACTTTTTGTGCACAAAGTAAAGTCCGTTTTCATTTCAGGTTGCAAAGCAACAAAATGTGATTTTAAAGGGGGGTGATTTTTTTCTATACCCACTGTAGATAAAGTATATATGAAATTAATACTTTTATTCAAGAACACATTAAATTGATAAAAAAGTAGCAGTAAATAAATGTATAATCTTACAAAAAATATTTCAAATAAATGGTGTTTTTTTTTTCTTTCTATTCATCACAGAATCCTGAAAAAAGCACAGTTTCACAAAAATATAAGGCAGCAGTTTGAACAGCAACTGCTTTCAACTTCAAAACTTTTAAGTAGAGTACACCTTTAAATGGAATCTGAATGTTTAATATCAACATTGACATATGACTCTAGATTTCCTTTTTTTTCCACAGATGTATCCAGTACCATGCATTCAGATGGAGGTTACAACACCGGGTAAGACGAAACTTCTCAATTACTGTTTCTTTAGTATTTCTAGAATCGTTTTGACCCCGGGCAATTGAAATGCAAGTCTCTTCGGTTTTGGTTCCTCATGGTACGTTCTGTAGCAGAATGACTAGAGGTTATTGCCTCATCATGAATGAATAATTTACACTACGTTCACATGGAACCAATGTGGCAGCACTGACTTATGGACAATTTGTGAACTCATTGTGCATGCTACAAGTCCACCCAAATACTTGCTATTATTTATTCACCATGTTTGCTTGATTTTCTTCTGTGGAACACAAAAGAGGATGTCAAGCACCAAAAATGACAAAAAAGCACTGCAAAAGTAGATTGAAGCCATTTGATACCTTTTTGTGAGGAAAGGCCAAAACTGAAGTAATTATATGCTAAAAAAATGTTGTTATTAATTAAAACTAAAACTTAGTCATTTAGATTTTTTAGGTAAACTATCCTTTTATAAATGATTTAGATCATACTGTACATCATACATAGTTCTGATACTGCTAAATATTTAAAAGTGATTAGTAAAAGACCACTGAGTTTAGTATGTTCTCTCTTCCATGCAGAGAAACAGATCAGTTGGATGGTAACGTCAACCAGTTGTCAACAGGCCAAAGGGAAGCTGTGGTGAGTGTCGCAAAAAACATGTTTTACCCACAGAACTACCAGGAATTGAAAGCATCTGTGGGCAAAATTTCCAGTTTATTGTGGTGGTCACAGGTTTTTTGTTGTTGTAGTTGTTGTTGTTTTTTGCAGTCAGTGGTGTATGTGTAGTGACCCTGACCACTAAAAATACAATACTGAAGTTTTTTATCTTGCATCTAAATTTTGAATTGATTAAAATCAAAACCGTTGTAGGATTATGTGAATATGGAAATATTTTCAAAATGTTTGGCCCTAGAATTGACTAAATTGGTTACTATATTTTATCATTCAGGATGAGGAGCAGCAAGGGGACGACGGTCAGGATCAGGAAGGTTCGGATGATGAAAGTGAAGGTGATGAAGTGGATGACCTTCCCAACTGCAGGGGCTACTGGAAGGACCACATAAGCCGTAAGGCCAGCCAGACCAGTGTTTACCTGCAGGAGTGGGATGTGCCTTTCGAGCAGCTGGAGCTCGGAGAGCTGATCGGTAAAGGCCGCTGGGGGAAGGTGTGTAGGGGCCGCTGGCACGGAGAGGTGGCCGTTCGCTTGTTAGAGATTGACGGTAACAACCAAGAGCACCTAAAGCTGTTCAAGAAGGAGGTGATGAACTACAGGCAAACGCGACACGAGAACGTCGTGCTGTTTATGGGGGCCTGCATGAACCCGCCCCATCTGGCCATTATCACCAGGTTCACCTCTCTCAACTCTCTCAATGTTGTTTCATTCATGTACACTGCCCTTGTTTTTTTTTTTAAAGAAAGAATTGAATATTTTTTATTCAGCAAGGATGCATTAAATTGATCAAAAGTGACGGTAAAGACATTTGTAATGTTACAAAAGAATTCTATTTCAAATAAATGCTTTTCTTTCTATTCATTATCCTCAATAAAATGTATCACGATTTCCACAAAAATATTAAGCAGCACAGCTGATAATAATAAATGTTTCTTGAGCACCAAATCAGCATAGAATAATTTCTGAAGGATCATGTGAGACTGTAGACTGGCGTAATGGCTGCTGAAAATTCAGCTTTTCCATCATAAAGTATATTAAGATAGAAAACAGTTATTTTAAATAGTAATATTTCACAATATTACAGATTTTTTTTATCAGATAAATGCAGCCTTGATGAGCATTAGTGGCTTTATCTTTAGACAATAGAGGTTTTATTAGAAAAATAAAAAATTCTTACTGATTCCAAACCTTCGAACAGTAGTGTATGTTTTGAATGTGTAATATGTGATATTATAGAGCATTTGTGTTTTGATTGTAATCTACAGTATTTATGTTGTCCTGCTGCAGCTTTTGTAAAGGACGGACGCTGTACTCCGTTGTCAGGGACTCTAAACTTGACATCAACAAGATAAGACAAATCGCTCAGGAAATCGTAAAGGTATGAAGCATCACATGTAATACATGTTTTTGGCTTTATTTTGAATGATTCATCAGTGCATGTTATTATCCAAAAAAAAATGCTTTCATAGTTCATCAAACTTGAAAAAAAATTTCATAGTTACATTAAAATGTAATAACTTAAATAACTCAGCAAAAAAATTATTATATCATAAATTTTGCTTCTTTAGCTCAAATCACATTAAAACATTGTCTATGTTTTTAACTGTTTTGCTTTGTTTTGCTGTGTTTTTATCTTTTACAGGGAATGGGTTACCTCCATGCAAAGGGAATTGTGCACAAAGATTTGAAGTCCAAGAATGTATTTTACGATTCAAACAAAGTTGTCATCACAGATTTCGGTCTGTTTGGGATGTCTGGAGTGGTCCAGGAGGACAGGTAGGGTGCATGTCATTATAAAAAGAGTCTTATTATACAGTATGCTTTGTTAAGAACTTCATTAACGTATGTGTTTGTTTGTAGGCGGGAAAATGAACTGAAGCTGCCACGAGGGTGGATCTATTACCTGGCTCCAGAGATCGTGCAAAAGATGGGGCCAGGAAACCAAGAAGACTGTTTGCCCTTTTCAAAAGCTGCTGATGTTTACGCTTTTGGGTAAAAGCCACATCTCTTTTCCCACATCTGCATCACAAATACAGTGCCTCTAATGCAAACATTTGGTTTTGGTGTTAATGTTTCATTTTTGCTTTAAAAAAAATTCTCTCAAAGCAAAGACTTTTTCTGATTGGTCCTTCATTTTAAAGGCTTTTTCGAAATCAAATTAGAATATTTTGCAAGCCAACACTGAAGTTGATCAGTTGACTTTGAATTTATCTTTCTCAGCACTATCTGGTTTGAACTCCAGGCCAAAGAATGGCCCATCAGGAACCAACCGACTGAAGTTTTGATCTATCAGCTGGGAAGTGGAGAAGGCATCAGAACGTTACTGGCCCAGAAGGGTACAAGCTTGGGCAAGGAGGTTACGGTGAGTCTGGCCCTGGTATAATTTAAAAAAAAAATATATATATATATATATGTGACCCTGGACCACAAAACCAGTCATAAGGGTCAATTTTTTTAAATTGAGATTTATACATCATCTGAAAGCTGAATAAATCAGCTTTCCATTGATGTATGGTTTGTTAGGATAGGACAATATTTGGCCAAGATGCAACTTTTTGAAAATCTGGAATCTGAGGGTGCAAAACAAAATCAAAATATTGAAAAAAATCGCCTTTAAAGTTGTCAAAATTAAGTTTTTAGCAAATGCATATTACTAATCAAAAATTAAGTTTTTATATATTTACGGTAGGAAATTTACAAAATACTTTCATGGAACATGATCGTTACTTAATATCCTAATGATTTTTGGCATAAAAGAAAAATCGATAATTTTGACCCATACAATGTTTTTTTGACTATTGTTTAAAATATACCCAAGCGACTTAAGACTGTTTTGTGGTCCAGGGTGACAACATTTTTTTGGTCTCCATGATGAAACAAGCTTACAACTCATACAGAATGAACTCAACAACACTCTTGATAGAAGTTTAGTTCATTTAATTGAAATGAAAACGGCATTCAGAAAAGTATTACAGACTAGCTTTCAGCTACATAATGGCATAAATGCAGTTTTTGAAAGAGTGAAAAGACCTTCATCTTGACTAATATGGTCATGAAAAGCAGTTCTCTATTCTGCACAAACATCTTACCGTATTTCAAATAAAATGTAATTATTACTTCATGACCTTTGATAAAAGCTCGCATATAAATAGAAGCGTTCTTTTACAAAGCAGCTCACTGATAAGAGGTCAACTCAGAGGATTTGCAGAAGCGAGCGAACGCAAACTATTACAATCCAAAACCACTGTCTCAACGGCAATACCTCAACCCTCGTAATAACATCTGATCTGATTACACATGAGACCAGAGACTGACGGAGGTTCTCAAAGCATCTCGCTCTGAGGAGCACCTGGGCGTCTAACCGCACACGTATCTCTGCCAACGTGTTGAGATGTTGTTAGATGTTACCCTCACACACTGATCTGTAACCTGTTGTGTGGTTTTGCCCGTAGTGGTTAAAGTCTGGATTTGGCTGGGGTGTTACTGTTCCCAGACCAGCGTTTAAGACAACTGGCTGTGGTTAGCGCTATGCAGGCACATAGTTTAACCTCACGCAGGAAGCGAGCTCACTTTATCTACCCGGCTGCCTGCGCCCTCCGCCACACAGCAGAGCGTGGGTGTGACACCTGCCTGTGTGTGGGGGGTGGTGGAAGAAGGTGAAAGAAGCTAGAAAATGAATGCGTAACAAGACCAATTGGGTGAAAATATAAATAGCAAAGAAAACTGGAAAGGAAATGCAGAAAAAAGGATATATTATGAAATTATAGATAACATAATTTCATGATATTTCAGAAAATGTTCATACGGAAGACATATGAAATTGCCACCTTGACATCTGGTACATATAGGCTGTCTTTATGAAAGAAGAGAATTTATGTATCTTTAAATCTGTGCTTCAGTGAGGAATGCTCCGTAAAGTAGTGTGAAAAAATATAAATTCACATCAAATGCATTTGCAATTTTGATGATATCAAAAGTAGTGCAAATATTTACCACAACAAGAAAAGTGCATTGACTTTACAGAATCAGGACAAACCCCAAGAGAACTGCAGGGTTTTGGGGGGGGGGGAATAGTTTTTATTTAAAATGCATTTGAAAATACTTTTGTCAAAGTGCTAAAAATAACTTCACATGCATAATAAAATAAAATACATATCAAGAAGAAAAAAAAAATCAGTGGGGAAAACATGATACATTAACAATAAATAATTAAAATTATAATCCGTAAAATATATTACAACAAAAAAAAATTGACTTAAAGCAAAAATCTCAAGTGAATATGTATTTAATTATTTTCTTATTTTATTTAACATTTAATTTTCATTACAAATTATAATGTAATAATTCAACTGAAAAAAAAAAACATTAATTCTAGAATTTCTCTGTATTTTTGCTTTAATAAAATCAGCACTCAAGCTGGTTAAACTGCAAAACCAATGATCATTTTATTCAACATGATTTAATAATGTTCCAGGAAGCATCTTCAATCTGAGCTTTTGTACACATAAGTTCACATGATGAAAATCAAATTTGCTTACAGTTTTTATTGATTTATTTATTTTTCAAAATTGTACAACTTTGAAAGAAAAACAAGACATGTGGTCTCTAGCTTTTGGACCTCTCTTTATAAAAGGGAAACGAAGCAGAAATAAGATTAAAATGAGTGTGATGTAAACCATATGGATAAGTGTCCTTAGTTCTTATATCCCCCGGTAATCGACTGCCTCTCATTGTTTCTACAGCCTCTAAATGCTCTATAGAAAACTCAACACTCTGACTGTGACAATAAATCTTTTGCTAATTTTTCAAAAGCCTTGGACTACAAGAATGTGGAAACTTCACAGCTCTGAGAGGCCAAGCGAGCAATGTGAGTGAGAATTGATTTGTTTGGGTTCGTCACATCCATCAGTCATCCTAGAAATGATGAGATGAGCATCACGGCACAACTGATGCCTTATGTGGTCTACAGCGCTTGGCAGACCTTGATGTACGTCAACACGAAAAGCAGAGTGCTTGAATTTCCTCTCTTGTTTTTGAGATATATGAGTGTAATACGCGTATTGAGTTAAGCGTGTGAACTAGGAGCCAGACCACATCAGAAGCGCTCTGCTGTGCAGGCAGACTGCGTGAAAGCATCTCTGACGCTCTGCCCATAGCCTGTTGATTCGATTGTAATAATTAATGGTCATTGTGATGACTTTGGGTTTCACATGTGGAATAGCATGACCTCCCTTAATGAGAGCTGAAAAATTTGGGATGCGTTTGCAAAAATTAACCATCTTTGATAATACATGTCAGATGTCTTGGAAAAGGTGTTAAAGTGTGATGAGAATGTTAAGGCCAGTTTATTGCCCCAATAAGCGCCAAAACCACCAAATTCCAAAAGTTGGATCATGGTGCTGTTCGGGAAGTGTGAATTTGACAGTTATATTTCCTAACGCTCTAAAGCCAACTTTGGTATGCTTGAAATGTTGGTTTTCATAGTTCATCCAAGTATAAAATTGTGCGATTATTGTGACTCACTTTAACGCTTAAAAAAGCACCTAAGATTTTCTGAAAAAATGCACAGCTCGCTGATCATTTTCCAAGTGCTCTGATTGGTTTTCATGAAAAACTATCCAATATTTAAGCAAATGTTTTTTTACAACCCAGGCTCATTGAAAATACGTGCTTGTTGCACTGATCACAATGTCCAGTGAGTGGCGGTAAAACGCACATTCAATACGTGACAGTGGCCATGTTTTTATTACGCTGGTAAAGGCGCGTATTACAGTGTTTTTATTATATTGGTTCAGGCACGTATTGCGGTGGTTCAGAATTCAAATGTCAAGGGAGAGTTGCTAAAAGGCTAATGCTCTATCGTGTTGGAAAATAACATACATCCTACACCAAACCCAACACTAAACCTACCCGATAGTGTTAATGAATGCAAAAGTGATCACTTTTGCATTCATTAACTTCCTTCTACGTGGGTTTGAGCTGTTTTGTCAAACAGTAGTTTCAAGTGATTCATACCAGAGTGCTTCACCTCACTAGTGCAACGCCGAATCGCGTGAGCTACCGAGCAAACCTACTGAGTTAGAAAACCCATAGATATGAAGCTGGATATGTGATGCTAATGTTCAAAAGTACCAACCCGATATTTAAGCAACTTCTACTGCTTCCCACTCCAGTCCAGTAGGTGGCAGTAATGTGCATTACAGTCACAATGTACTATCGTTGCATTGAAATCACACTTCTGGATATTTAATTTTGACCCATACAATGTTTTTTTGACTATTGTTTAAAATATACCCAAGCGACTTAAGACTGGTTTTGTGGTCCAGGGTCACATATATATATACATGTATGTGTGTGTGATATATTATATTTACTTATATACATCTAATCAAATCAAAATTAAATCAATGCTATTATATATTAATAATTGTATAGATAGATAGAAAGAAAGATAGATGGATATAAAAAGTGTATAATGTAACATGGTCATTGTACTCGCATTGCAGGAGATCCTGTCAGCCTGCTGGTCCTTTAAGGTTGAGGACAGACCAACATTCCCTCAGCTGTCAGACTTACTAGAGAAGCTGCCAAAGCTCAATCGCAGACTCTCACACCCCGGGCACTTCTGGAAGTCTGAGGAGTATGTATCCTAGACTGGAACGCTAGCATGCTGCGGATCCCCCTTTTTTAGGGGGTGTAGTTTATGGAGCATGAAAACTAACTGATGGTTTGGAGCCGACCTGTGCATTGTTTTTTTTTTGTTTGTTTGTTTGTTTTTTCTCTATTCTGAGCCTTCTTAATTTTACATCATTGGATTTTTAGTGTAGCGAGTGTCAGAAGGATGCTGTGCATGGAATCAACCATTATATATTTGGTCAAACCTGATATCGTATGGTGAGGAAAATAACAGTAAGTGACAGTAATGAAAAAGTGTTTTTTTCTGCTACCAAAGTTTTTGCCTGTTATGAATGATTGGTCTGGTTTGCAAATATGTGTGAAGATTTTTGTGATTTATCATTTATTGTTCACCATATAGAAATTCAGAAGCAGATACTGTTCTGAATATGAGTGGTTCAGAAGGAAGGTGCTTATTGATTTAACCTGTTACATTTTGAAGATGTCCATATGCCCAAATATCTGGCCTGTGGTCAGTAATTCACCTCTTACATTTAAAAACAATGGTTAGACTGTGGTGAAAAGGGTGTAATCTGAATTTATAATAATTAAAATAATATTAATAATGACAATAATTATATAGTATATGATTATAATACATTATAATGTACAATGATTTATTATTATTATTATTATTATTATTTATCAGTAAAAGCCGTTGAAATCCCTGAAAACCCTTTTATAATTTTTTTTTTTTTTAATATTTGTGTGTTGTTTCTGCTGTTTTTCTTGTGGGTTTCTCTCCACACTGGGAATGGGCCAAACTTGTGATCCCATCTCTGTCATCTGCTGTTCCTGTCTCCATCTTGACGTCTCAACCTTTCTTCTTGCCACCAACCTCTTCCAAATCTTCATATTTTACATGTCACTTTATTTATGTCACTGTACTTTCTTCCTTCTGTTCTCTGATTGGCTGAATGTTCAGCGCATGGCGTCACCACTGTCTGCGTGAACACTGCAGTCCGGGGCTCCGCTCTCACTGTCCCAACGTCTACAAATATGATGGTTTGTCCACAGCTGCTGTTAACATTTGCATGGCTGCTGCATTCAAAGAAAACAACTAGTTTTGATTCAGATGTCTAGATCTGTTCCATTTATTTCCTGCGTGATTTATTGGATTTCTTTGCTGATGATCAACAGAGTGTCTTACAAATTTTTGCAATATTCACCTTTGTGTTGCTTTTTCATATAGTAGTCCCATCTTTGGCAACTGAAAGGCTTTTAAACTTGTGCCTGTTTTAACACTGAGCAAAGCTATTTCAGCTAAACTTTGTAAATGGAAAATATGCTGATAGGATTTCAGCAGTTTTATTGGTCTAGCAGACTTTGCCACGTTTTGCTGTTTCAAATTCCTCATGTGCCGTCAGATGAATGGAATGTGATTTCCATTGCTCTTTTGATAGGAAAGACCTTAAAGGGGTCCTATTATGCTCTTTTACAAAGTCTTGATTTTGTTTTGGGGGTGTACTAGAACATGCTCTCATGCTTGGTGTTTCGAAAAATGCATTATTTTTCACATAATTTACATTATTAAACAAATGGCTCGATTAGTTCCGGCTTTGAT